CTTTGTAATCTTCTTCTTAACCATTGCAGAATAAAACACTACGAAAATTGAAAACAGAATAAAAAAAACCTAAAAATCGAAGATTCAAAACAACTTAAACTAACAAAAATAGTTAAAAAAAAAAAGTAAACGAACCTGAATATAGCAAATAACAACTTCACAAGTGAAAGAGAAGAGAGAAAAAGCTCGAAAATCGTTGATTGAGGAGAGAGAAAAAGCTCAAAATCGCAGGTTATGGAGAGAGAAATCACAGTTGAGAGAAAAAACGAGGAGAGAGAAAGCAACTGGTGAATGAATGAGGAAGAGAGAGAAAGTGCTTTCTTTATTTTGGCAATCATCAATTGGCATGTGCGTGATTCAAATTTTGGCAGTTATTAACATGCACAACTTCCGCCATTCATTGATTTGGTGAACATCCGCCTTTATTAAACATTTGCATACAAAGTTTCATATGCGGCTGGCCGCACCAAAGATGTATATATATTTCCTCCGTTAATGGTTAATTGCAACAAAGGAATATTTTATATCTCACAAATAATACCCCTTTGTTGCAAATAACCATTAACGGAAGAAGTATATATATTTTTTTCTCTCTCTATCTCCTATTCTCTTTCCTATTTTCTTCTTCCCACCTAAACACACCCCTTTCCTAAACTCTCCTCTATTATCTCTCCTCTATCCTCTTTCTCTCTCCTATTTTCATCTTCTCTAGTTAGCCCACTTAAATTAAACAAGTTAAATGGAGCAGCAGTGGTAGGGGGGTAAGGAAGCTCCTCGTACTCTGTTGCGGCCGAAAAAACAAGCTAGAAGTTTTAAGGCCAAATTCAGCCATGAAAACTCTAGATTTAGAGTTTTATGACTGAATTTGGCCTTTTTAGCCACATTTCAAGTGAAAATTAGAAGCCAAATTAATTTGGCCTTTTTCAACAATTTTAATTAATTTCATAGTTGTGGGTTCAGTTTGGTTGGATCTGGGCTTGCTGATTTTTTTAAGTTTTGGTTATGGGTTTGGTTGGATCTAGGCGTGGTTGTTAGTGGTACGGGAGTTGGTGGTGGTGTGGTGGAGTTTAAGGTTTTGAGGAAGGCGGTTGAGAAAGGTTGGTGTTGGTGGTGGTTACGGTGGGTTTGGGTGCGGGTAAATGGTTACTAGGTCGGGGGCTACTAGGGGTTACTAGGTTGGTCAGGGGTTATTAGGTCGGGGTACTAGGTCGGTCAAGGGTTACTAGTGTAATACCCCGTATTTTTATGTATTTTTATAAATTATTTAAGTATTAATAAAATGTATTGTCAAGGGCTCAAGTATTTTAATTAAATATTTTAAAGGGTTAAAGTATTTTAAATATAAAGTTTTATAAAAGTGAAATATATTTTGGGCCAAACGTTTATTAATTATAGAGCAATGTAAATTATTCCTACGTACTCTTATTGTAATAACCCATTCCAAAACCCATAACTTAAGCCCTATCCCATAACTCAAGCCCACATTTTTATAAGCCCAAATTTAACCCTACACTCTCTACTCTATAAATACCCCATGAATCCCCAAAAATTTCCCACACAAAAAGGTTAGTCTTATTTTCTCTCTCCTTTGTTTTATTAATTTGTGTAATTATAATCAATTATTTATGGGTTTTGATTTTATTGTTTGAAATTAATTTAATTATTATCAAATTGTATTTTGATGATTAAACTATATAATTTTCAGATTTTTGTAAATTTTATAACCTAGGGTTTTTAATTATTGAAAATCATGATTTTAGGGTTTTTTATGAATAATTGATTTAGGGCTTTTATAGTAAAGATGTTTTGAAATTTTGGTGATTATAACTACTTATTAGTTAACTTAATTCCAGATTATTTTGAACACGTAAATTCATGTTTTAATTATTAGATTTCCGTTCGTTAATATTAATCCCGTTTTAATCCCAATCAGGTTCGGAACTCCTCAGATTTTGATAAAAACAATAGTGTTTTTCGTATGGAAACAACGTTTAAAGAAAGACTCACTACCTTTGGTAGTGAGCACCACCCTTTAGTGGCCAAATTCATCCTCTAAATATGACTTTCGGGCAGTTTTTGATTTTTCACGAAGTTTTTTTTTATGTTTTAAATTTTATCCTTGAGTTTAAAAGGGGTAAGAGATAATTTAATGTTTCTATGGATAATTTAAGTATAAAGATGTATTTTATTTAAAGTAGTATAATTGTGATTTTTAATAAAAGGGTGTGATTATCCATTAAAAAGGAGTTTAATTAGGGGTTTTTAAATAAGTTTCAGATTATTTTAAGTAGTCTAAAGTAAATTTAAGTTGTTGGAAATTGTGTATACAAGGAGAATTAATATAGTATTATTGTCCCTTTATGTAGGAGACTTAATTCGGGAATTGTTGTAGTGTAATCGGATACTTTAAGGGCTTATTTGAGGTACGTTCGCGTACTTAGCATATTTTGATGATGTGGAATCATGCTAGGCTTGATTTCAATCAATTACAAGTAATATCATGCTAAGGTTTATGTATGGAATTGTAAATTAATGTTGTTGGGGATTGAATTGTGAAGCATGAATTATTTGTGATGGTTTATGGATTGGAAAATTATATTTTTGGGCATGTCATGTTTGAACCACACTTTTATTTATGGCATGTTAGAATGCATGATTAATTAAACTACATATTTAATTATGTTTGGAATATTAAAAAGGAATTTTATTATGGTTTAAATAATTTTTATTGATGCTTTAAGCATGAGAAATGAGCTATATAAGTGTCTATGTACACGAGGAATAAATTTTATGTTGGTGTCTTTGTGCACTTAAGGTGTTTTTAACACCGAGGGATAGGATTTTTGGCGCTTTATGCGTTTAAGGTGTCTTTGACACTGAGGTAGAATTAATAGGGGTTCAACATTAAATAATATGTGGTCACTAATTATTCAAGAATTAAATTGGTATGTTTGGTTGATTGAATAATTATTGTTGATTGATTTATTATGCTTTGAGAGTCATCACCAAGTCCAATAACATGTAAATAACGTAAAGTGAAAATGATTACGCACCAAAACTCTTGGAACGTATATACCTTGAGTATGAACAATGGGGGGAGTTATGGGGTTTTATATTTAACCATAACTTCTAATGGAGTACAGGACGATGTACATTCCTTTTTATTTATTATTATGCGCAGGAATTCCGCCACCTTTGAGTGGTTTTGTCGCTGGCACGGTTAGCTCCCGTGTCAGTTAACCTCAATTTATTTGGGGAAGGTATAGTTGGAAACCCATTCGATGCGTAATCAACGCTAAATGAATCATTTAGTGTCTAGTAATGTGTCTTGTTGATTATTGTGTGTGCTTGTAAACAGGTGCAATGAGGTAAGTGTGTGTTGATAGGTGAAAGCATGTTAGTGTGTTTAATTACGCTTATGTACTCAGCTTTGCTGATTGTGTGTGTTTGTGTGTTTGGCCATGTCTTTACTTTGGCCCTACGACGACCCATTTTCTAATGGCGAGTAGTGGGGACAAGTAGAGAGGAGGTTTTCAGGTGATGAAGCATATTCATGAATGGGCATGAGTGAAGAGCGAATCATGCTAGTTTCTATAAGTATATGATGTGTTTAATGCTTTAATTATTTATGATATTATTATCATGCATGACTAACGCAAAAGTTTTAAAGTTGGTTCGGTTTTAATAAGGGCCTACAATGGTTTCAAGTTGTAGGATGATTTTATTTTATTTTCGTTGGTTGACTTTTCAAGTTAACTTGTTTTGAATGGTCTTGAAATTAGTCTTCCGCTGTGTGTCTTTGATGGTTGCCTTAGCCGTTTTCACAGTGGCGGTAATATCTTAGATATTTCTATTTAAATTTAAACAGGGCAAAATAGGTATTTTAAAAGAAAGGAATTTCTAGGGTGTTACAACTAGGTAGGGGGTTACTAAGGATTAATAGATCGGCTATGGGTTACTAGGTCGGTTAGGGGTTACTAGGTCTGCTAGGGGTTACTTGGGGTTACTAGGTGAGGGGTTACTAGGTCAATCAGGGGTTACTTTGTCTAAGGGGTTAGTAGAGGGGTTACTTAAGTGGGGTTAATTGAGGGGTTACTAAAGGGGTTACTGATATGACACCTTGTCGCACCGTGCGTTCAGCCGCATCAGAATCACGTTGATAAGTAAATTGTATATTGGGATTGATGCACTCAAGGGTAGTTTTTTGCTCATTTGATTAATTTTATTTATTTTAAATTTTAAGATTTCAAATGAAGAGAAAAATTGAATATTACCCTTATTTTTGTTTGGAAATTTTTTTACAAGATATTTTAATTTGAATATTATTAAAAATACTTTTTAAGGTTTTGAGTCTATGTACATATGTTACAACACAATTTACGTAGTAGATTTTAGGTATTTTTTTAGTAATTTGACTTATTTAAGCAAAAAAAAAAATGACTGGGCAATGTAGTGGTAGACTGGAAGGGGTAAAGTTTAGTGGCAGAAGTAGCTTTTGTGAAAAGTTAATATTATTAGCTTTTGAAGATGGAAGGTAGCTGTTGGAATTTTTCTACTTTATTTTTAGAGTTTTACACTAGTCAACAAGTACTTTACCAAACACACATACTTAGGGCTGTGCAGTGGTCCAAAACCAGACCGGGACCAGAATGAATCGGAATCGACTTTTTTTGGGACCGGGACCGGACCGTAATCAATCGGGACCGAACCAGAATTGGATCATAAATTTTTAATATTAATGATAAACTCATTGATAGAATTATTAATTAAGTATCAACCGGGGCCGAACCAAAATTGGGCAATAAAACCATAAAGTACGATGTAATTAAATTTGTAAACTTTGATACTTAATTAATATTTCTATCAATGAGTTTATCATTATTTTTTTTTTTTTACAATTTCTTTTCCAAAATTATTCAATTGGCCCAATTGGTACGGAGTATAATTCTATCACAATTTTCCTTTATGACTACCCCCCCCCCAAGCACTAGGGACCGGTATGAATTGGAAAGCTGGCATATTTATTGTGGTCCATAATTACATCCAATATACTACGAATATTAAGATAATGTCCTGGACTCAGACAAGCCAAGAACCAAAATGTGTAATCATCAGTGTGTATTAACTCAAAATTACGAGTATTAATATCTTCAATTCATCATGATGTCTGTCTTAATACTATTATTTTTGCTAGTTAATACCTCAAATTCATTTCCAATTCTAGACTACACGAAATCAGATTGCTACAACTCATCATTATACCCTCTTAAAAGCTCGTATGACACCAATCTCAACAATTTGCTATCTAATTTGGTCTCCAAAATTTCTACTGCCAATGATGGTTTCATTACACAAAAGCAAGGCTTAGAAAATCAAGAACCTACTTATGGCCTTGCCTTGTGTCGAGGTGACATTGATCGTGATGATTGTAACGATTGTGTTAAGATGGCTAGCGAGGAGGTAACAAGTGATGCGTGTCCGAGAGCAAGCCAAGCAATAATTTGGAAGGAAAGATGCATGCTTCGTTACTCTAACACGTCCTTTTTTAATCTCCTACAAGAGCAACCCTACGAAGCGCTATACAACGTTAACAATGTGACGGACCATGTCCAAGATTGGATTAGATTGCTCCAGGATACGTTGAGTAATGTGTCGTCTATGGCAGCTTCCGCCAAGTCCGGTAACAAGTATGCCACTAAGGAGGAATGGTTTTCACCCATGAAAAAGTATTTGTACACTTTGGCTCAATGTATTCCGAGCTTGACAATGGCGGATTGTAGCAAGTGCTTCGGTAAAGCTGTTGATCTTATTCCTAGCTTTTTCGCGCATGGGGGGATTGTGCTAACGCCTAGTTGTACGCTAAGGTATGAAGTTTATCAATTTTATAGCTTAATAAGTTTGAGGCCACCACCAAATTCGAGCATAGCGCCATCTACAGACATTATTGCCGGAACAAATCCAGGTATACATAAGTTTTGTTACGATGTGAAGTAGATAGTATTTTTCGTTTCAAGAATATTTGTCAAAAATAACCTTTTTAATTGAATCTTTGTGAAAGATCAAAACTATTGTAAAAAGATTACAATTTTTTTGTTGGTAAAATAGCAGCTGATGCCAAATTTTGGCATTAACTTTAGGCTTTGACCCCCCACGTGAGAGGCATGTGACCACCAAAACACCATTTCAACCACCCAAACACTTATATAAACCATTTAACCTGGCCTCCTAAACATCATCTAGCCATCTCTAAAACCACCCGCTCACCACTTCAGGATTTTTAGTCATTTAAAATTCAAAATTCAAAAAATACAGGATTTTTAGTCATTTTATGGTTGTATATATACATACTTTTCTTTAATCTAAATTTTGAATACTAGTATACTACCCAAGATAACATAGCATTACAAAATAATTCGGTTTTATACTATATTAATTGACTTTGTACAATAGGGGTGGTTAAAAGAAGCTAAGACCGATCGTAAAAAAACCGGGGTATAGTTTGATGTGAGTGTTATTGGGTCTAAACAAATAAATATAGGTTACGTTGAATGTTATGTGTAACTTTGAGGTATTATTTGTAAAATATAAAATATTTCAAAGTTGTACATAATGTTTAATGGATGTATTATATAGCTGATTTATGTATTTAGTTACTGGTTAAAAAGTCAGAAAATAAAAAATGGTTGAATACGTGCTCATTTGCTTCATGTATAGTTGTATACGATATTAATTTCTTATGAGAAGTCTCATTTCATTGAATGTTACTTCACATTTAAAGTTTTTTTTCGATCTCGACTTCACATTTAAAGTTCTTACAAGATACAAGTTGATAATATTTTGGTTGGTAATTAGATACTCATATTTAAAATTTATTTATATTTTTACCAAAAATATAATAATTCCAATAATTTATACGAGTATATATTATGGGAAAATTGTTAAAAATAATCATAAATTTATGCCAATCGCTTTAATTAATTCCAATTATACATTATATTTTAAACAATCCAATTTTTAATAAGTATCCGCTTTACCCCTAAACAAAAAAAAAAAAAAAAAAAAAAAAAAGTATCTGCTTTACTACAGGCCCAATTGAATTATTTTTTTGACAAGTGAATTAAAACCGACTAAAATTAGCAACATATCCACTTGTTTTCCTAGGAAGTTGGTTGATGCGGTTGTTTTGAGCAGAAAAACTTGTGTGAACCTGGTTCACAATAATATTATTGTGAACCCGAAATTTTTCATGTTTGTAATTGGCTTTGGTATTAAACATAGTGACCTTTATATTAAATATAGTAACTTTAATTTTAATATAGTAATAAAATTTGTGTGATTTTTAATATTGTTGCAAACTTGAAGTATGACGTTATGATCCTAACTTTAACCTAGTGGCCTATATTATTCATATTGACCGCTATTTTAAAATTTTCATTAAAAAATTAATCTATAAAAACACAATCACTTTTATTTTAGCATAATAACCATTATTTTAACATAGTGATTTTTTTTAATTAATAAAACGACAATAGTAACTCTACTATAAGTGGTCCACAATAGATTAATGTGAACCGGGTCTATTTAAGAGTTTGTATGTTCTGAGTAGGATACAAGTTAAAATGTTGACAATTTTAGTCTATTATTTTGGATTAAAAGCTAATGATTTCTAAAATTTGGATTACTTTTACAAAAAAAAAAAAAAAAAAAAAAAAAAAAAAAAAAAAAACATATAATTAGAATTATTTAATGCGAACAATCTAAAGTTGGGATTATTTTTACCAATAATTCATACCTAAGGGCTCAAGGGACTTGGAGGAAAACAAGAAAGGAAAAAAAATACCAAGTATTACATATTCCATGTCTAGCTCTAAAATTTAAGGGTTCGTTTGGCATTGTTGTGGTTTTCTGTTTTTTGGTTTTTTGTTTTCTAAAAGTATATGATATGAGTCCTGATTAGGGGATTTTTCCCCACCAATCACCATCTGACAAGTGGACCAATCAGGTTCCGCCATGTGTCCGTCACATGGGCCAATAGGAGCCTGCCACGTGTCAAGCAATGATCCGTCCACTATGGACCAATTACGACACGACACGTGTCCTTCCCATAACACCTGGGATAACCGGTCACCTAGGCCCAACATCCGAGGGAAGCCCAATCAGCCCAAGGTTAACCTAAACCTAGATTGACACGTTTCCCGAGGTTATAAATACATCCCTTAATCCTCATTAAGGGAGATTGAACGCTAAAAACGCAGATTACACACATTAAACACTCTCACCTAGAGAGACTCAATCACTTTAATTTCCGCATTAATTACTCCTTAATCAAGTACTAACTTGACCGTCGGAGGCGGATCTCCAATCATCCGGAGCATCCGTTTGTTTTGCAGGTACAGGCGTCCGGTTCCAGTCTCAGAATTGTAACTCTCTCGCAGGACATCAGAAAACCCCGAAACATTTGGCGCCGTCTGTGGGGAGAGTACTTCTGAGATGGCATCCACGTCTGTACCGACTCCTGAAGAGAGGCGTCCCCTAGACGACCCTCAAGTTCAGTCGGACCACGATACTGAGAATGAATTTGAAGTTGAAGCTCACACAGCTTCAGACGGGACCCTAAGGGCCCGACGTACCCGTCATACCGAAAGGAGGGAACGGGAACATCTTCAAACTGGAAGTGAGCCAGCAGGCGCACCGCCTGCTCCCATCACAAGGAACGAACTCATGACCTTCATGAGGGACTTCAAGGGAGAAATTCAAGAGTTGATCAACAAGAAGCCGCCTACTCTTGACAAGGAGCAGTCGGCTAAGAAACCCTCCACTTCACTGAAGAGGAAACCAGTTCAAGGGCGAGAGGCGACCCCTCATCCTAAATCTAGGAAGTGGGAGCCACCTGCCCTTGATTTCACAAAATACCGTTTTCCTACTCCAGGAAATAGGAAACTTGTTCGTCATATTCAGGCGGACGGGTCGAGGAAAACATACACAGACGCTCGGCTACTGCTAGAGCAGAAGAAGAGTAGCCGATTGTCAGAGTCGGCCTCTACTTCAAACTTCCAAGACAGTCTGCGAAATACCTCGATGAGGCATACTCAGTCGTATCATGAGAGTCAGTCAGGCGGCACCTCCCGTCAGTCCGGCTTTCATAGCGACCAGGCGGTACCAAACTTACCGTTTGTACCGCAACAACAGTATTTTTTACAGCCACCTCCGTTTGGTGGACATGCAGCAAAAAATGTCCAACCTATGGACTGGCAGCTACGGTTGCTTAGACTTGGTGAACAGCCGTCGGCCTTCTCCAAGGAAATTACTGAAGCCGCTCAGCCGGCCAAAGTGAAAAATGTATTAGTAGGCGCCTATGACGGCACTACTAACCCAGAAGACCATCTGATGGCATTCACCAACCTGATGTACCTTCAAGGGTTGGATGATCCCACTTGGTGCAAGTGTTTCCCAGCGACTCTCAAAGGAATCGCACAACAATGGTTCGACAACCTGCCGACTGGTTGTGTAAATAACTTCAAGACGCTTGCTTACTTATTCACCTCCAACTTCTCCATGAACATCCCAGCGAAGAAGACGACCCTTGATTTAGGAACAATTCAGCGGGGCGAGAAGGAGGGGCTTCGTTCTTACATCAGGCGGTTTAACCTGATGAGAATACATATTCAAGGGTTACCGGATGAAGTAGCCTATACTGACTTTTTCAGAGGTCTCAAAGACGGGTCGACCTTCAAATTTGATTTGGTCCGAAAGAGGGTGGCGACTCTTCAAGAGGCCTTGATTGAAGCGGAAGCCTATATACAGGCGACTGATCTTTGTAGTACGGTAAAACAGTCAGACGGGAAAAGGTCCGACAAAAGAGAAGGACGACAGAAACAGTCGTCAAACAAAGACGAGAAGAGAAAAGAGGTCTGGGCGGCTGATTCCTCTAAACAGCCGGCCCAGAAAAAGAAAAAAGAATTCAAACCATACTCCCCAAAGTATGCGTTTAACAAGGATAGTCAATTTATCCTAAAGGAAATCAAGGGACGGATCTCAATTGAGAAGCCGGTCCCCATAAAGGGTTCTGCAAACAATCGGAACCAAGAAAAATTCTATGATTATCATGAAGATGTTGGTCATCACACCAATGAATGCATCAGTCTCATGCGGTATCTGGACCGCCTGGCCGAGCAAGGTGATCTTGACACTTATGTCAAGAAATCTACGGGGAACACTTCCTCAAAAAAGCACTCGACCAAAAAGAATCAACAGGCCGACAGCTCCGATACAGATGATGCAGTCGTCTACACCATTGCAGGCGGCTTCTCAGGAGGCGGCCCCACTATTAGGGGCAACAAAGACAATATCAGATGGTTAGATGTAAATTCCGTTCACCAAGAACGGCCCTCCAAATATCCATTTCCTGAGATTGTCATCACTGAAGAAGATCTAGGAGGGGTAAGAGGGCCGCATGACGACCCTATCGTTATTGAATGTAAAGTGGCCAACCAGAGAGTTGGCCGAATCCTCATAGATACCGGAAGCTCCTCGGATCTCATCAGTAGCAAATGTCTGTCGAAACTAAAATATCAGATTGATCGCATACATCCGGCATCCCACCCTTTAGTAGGGTTTGAAGGAGGAGTCGTCCACCCAGTGGGACGAGTGGATTTACCCATCCGCCTGGGCGAAAAAGGGGAAGGACGACACATGGTAGTCCGGTTCCTGGTAGTAAAAGAACTCTCGGCCTACAACATGATTCTGGGACGACCAACCCTGAATAATTCCAAGGCTGTTATAATCCCATCTCTTATGTTGCTCAAGTTTGAGAGGGATAATGGAACAGTCGGGTCCCTAAGGGGAGATCAGAGGATGGCCCGAGAGTGCTATCTCTCGGATGTCAAGCCCACTATTATGGCCACTGGGTCGAGTGGTGGAAAAATAGACCTTGACAATGTCAAGGAGAGTGCGCCTGTTCAA